ACAACAATAGTACTCCCATCAATGGCCGTGGTGGAGGTGCTGCAGCTGCGCAGTCACGCTCGATGCACGCGTGCCCCACTTTGGGTCTCTATCGTCAGATAGATGCTCACTTTGGTGTGTGTCGGATGACTACTGGTCCAGCGCAGAATCTCTGTTTGCCACATTCATCAACATATTTTCCACCCAAGTTACTCTCCATGATGCTAACACTTTGCAAAAGAGACGATCGCGGCCCCGAGTATAGCATCTTCGTTGGCGACCTCGGCCCCGAGGTCAACGAATATGTCCTGGTTTCCCTCTTCCAGGCCCGCTTCCCTTCCTGCAAGTCTGCTAAGATCATGACCGATGCCATGTCGGGCCAGAGCCGTGGTTACGGCTTTGTTCGTTTCTCCGACGAAAACGATCAGCAGCGCGCTCTCGTCGAGATGCAGGGTGTCTACTGTGGTAACCGACCCATGCGCATCTCTACTGCTACTCCTAAGAACCGGTAGGCTCCATTCTGACCAGGGCGTGAAATAGAAGCTAATCTAGGTAGCGGTAACCACGGCTTCGGACACGGGCACCACGGCGGCGGCGGTCCCATGATGGGTGGCGGTATGCCTCAGCAGCAGCAGCAACCGATGTGGAACGGCATGCAGGGCTTCGCCTACGGCGGATACAACCCGGCGACGCAGATGAACCAATTCACCGACCCCAACAACACGACGGTCTTTGTCGGCGGCCTGTCGGGCTACGTCACCGAGGACGAGCTCCGCTCCTTTTTCCAGGGATTTGGTGAAATCACCTATGTCAAGATTCCTCCGGGCAAGGGCTGCGGCTTTGTGCAGTTTGTGCACCGTCATGCTGCGGAGATGGCCATCAACCAGATGCAGGGCTACCCGATTGGCAACTCGCGCGTTCGGCTCAGCTGGGGCCGCTCGCAGAACAACTCCGGCGTTGGTACCCCCTACCGTCCCGCACCCCCTCCTCCTCACTACATGGGAATGCCTGGCCATGGTGGTCCTGGTCCGTATGGGCCTCAGCACTTTGGCGGTCCTGCTCCCGGTCAGGGTCCAGCCGGTCCTGGCGGCCCCCCTGGACCTGCTGGCCCTCCCCAGGTAAATGGAACCGAGTAAAAAGCTGGCACACGCAGATGAGACAAGGCTAACCACGGGTGTTTGTCAGTAAAACAGAACTTTTAAAGCAGCAGGTTGGTGTTTTATCGACTCGATGACGGCAAGACTTGAATAGCTAGCTACCGAGGTGGCTATCTGGGACGGGAGCATGGACATGATAGAAAAGCTCCGTTGTGGAATTCAGCTCACATGATGTTGCGTGTTTGTTTGTCTTTTCTTGGCAACTTTTCCCCTTGGAACCGTTGTTTCTGTGTGCCTGGGGGGGATTTTTTTTGGGGCGTTGGACTGAAATCAAAAGACGTGCCGCTCCAAGTATTTTCTTCTTTACCATCTTGGGCGGGCGGGTTCCTTTGTCTTGTCTGTTTACAGGGCTCTTCTTTTGGTCAGGTTTGCTTTTTGCGCGCTTGACACGACGACACCATGCCACTTGATTATTTTCTTGAGTCTTTTCGAATCACGAATTGGCGTTGCGAATTGCGTACGTTCGGGGGGAGGGGGATTCGCCATGCAGTCATTTTTTCGGCATGGATTGTTGCTGCTTTCTAAAGCTCATCTTGTAGTCTCCTTTGTCTATTTGCTCTCTATTGTTCAGACCGAATCATTCATTGTTCATACTGATTGCCCTGTTCATACTACTTGTGTATGATGTTGTGAATCTGAGGATATGTGGATAAGGCGTGCTTGCCAGTATGAGCGGCGCCATTCGTACAGGTGCGTATACGTGGGACTGTGTCGGAGAACCATGTACTCGCGAGGGGGCGGGAGATGGCGTTGATGTGGTTACAGACGAGAGCGTTGTACAATCTGTCCTCGTTTTCGGTTATATGTTTTTTTTTGTCATATTATGGTAGGGAGCTTTGTACTACATGAAGGCTCCCTTGCACATGCTGTCTAGGAATGGTTGGCTATGGCGCATCTTGTGCCACCACCGAGATGGCGCGGAGCATGTCGTGCCGTGTATAGACTGACCAACCAATCTTGGAAACGAGGCTCACCATTATGAGGCTTAGTAATAGCCTTGGCCGGTTCGTTCATGATGGGTGCTCGTCGCAGCCTCGTGGTGCAAACGCGCCGCCCTTTTCCATTGGAGGGGGGGGGGGGGTTGCAGAACTAGTTGCGCCAAGTGGAAAAGGGCAAAATCTCCACATACAACGGGCCTCGCTCTTAATATATAATCATTCCAGGTTCCATCAAATCCAGTCCTACTGGTCCTACTGTGCCATGGGTGAAGTTGTCTTGGTATAAAAACGCCCCGCGCCCCCCTCGGTGTTAATTTTTCTTTGCTACTTGTCTCCCTCTCTCTCTCTTCTACTGGCCAACACCCACGGCCACCACAACGCCCAATCTCAACCGGCTGTCCCGATCCAGCCACCACCACCAGCAACCACCCAATCACACACAGAGGCAGTCTTCGCACACACAAAATGGGCAACCCCAACTTTACCATCCGGCCCAGCCGCGAGGCCGACATGGCGCGCTGCGCCGAAATCATGAGCGCCTCGTTTGCGTCGGATCCCATCGGGCCGCTGCTGTTTGGCGCGCACGCGGCGCCGTCGTTTGCCAAGACGGCGGCGGTGCACTGGCGCGCGCACACGGAGCACGCGGCGGCGTTCCCGTCGGTGCCGTTTGCGATATGCTGCGTGCACACGGACCCGGCCACGGGGACCGCCACCACCGTGGCCACGGCCGAGTGGGCCGTGTACGACCGCCCGCGCACCCCCGCCGAGTGGCGCGTCGACCCGTACACGAACCG